GTGCTGTTTTTCTTTGATGCTTGCTTTTCCTACACAAGCATTCATGTGGCCCTGAGAACTAGTTAGCTTTCATACCTGTGTGATGCTACAGTTGACAGAAAGTGCTCGTGTTTGTGTGGGATGAGTCCTGCTGATACCCACCAGTCCCTCTCTCCCAAGGGGATACTAGCAGTTCCCTACCCACTACTCCATTCTTAGGGAGCTCTCTCTGCATGTGTACAGCCTGCTCTGAGGTTGTCTGCCACCCAACTTGTGCTGAAAGCTGCAGTAAACGGGTGGGACGTTAGCAAAGAGAGCATAGGCCCAAATGCTTCCACAAAAAAGGATGCTGACCCTTTATCACACACACCTTCCCTTTGATTGTGGAACAGGTCCACATGGGGATTCACTCACATCCCCTGTGGGAAATGTGTTTGCAGGATCCCTTAGGGAGGGCCCTGGCCCATGTTGCAGTCACTGTTGTTTTAACTTCTTGCATTTTACAAGTCCTTGCACCACTGCCATGCTCATCAGGCCTCTCTGGGAGAGGGCTTCCTTGGGCTTTGTCAAATCATTGCCTGTTTTGCCCTTTATCTCAAAGAACGTGTGCTAGAATACTTACTGTCGTAGCAGGGGCTTGTCAGCTCACACACTAAAAACAGAGTATGACTCAGTCTGTTCCACTGTTGGCTCTGCCATTTTCTTCTAAGATATGTTAAATTGCCATATAATTAAGAAATCACAGACACTAACACCAGCAATTTCATCTGTGTGGGACACAAGTTGGGCATGTAGCGTAGTGATATGTAGTTTTTGAATTCCAAACATACTTTTTAAAATTTATTAAAGTTATAGCACACAACAAATGCCTTTGCAGGCAAAGGTTCTCAGCAGGTGGACTAATGAGCCTGTGTACATGGAAGGAAAGACACCCGCAGGACAGGTGCACAAGAGGGACATGCTTGGCCAGCACTCCCTACCTTGTATAATGAAAGAATGAGTGCAGGCCAGATATGGTGGCATACACTTTTAATTCCAGCTCGAAAGGCTCTGAGCTCTTTGAGTTGAAGGTATTCAGGAGTTATAAAGGGAGACTCTGTGTCAAAAAAAAAAAAAATGAATTCTCCAGATCCCTACATCCCCTCCTGTGTCCCTTGATATTGAAGAGTAGAAGACTGCCCATGTCTGTTAAACACAGACAGTCTGATGACAAGGCCTTTATTGTTTGGAATGGGATTTTTCTCATTTCCTAAAAACAGATGGTGGGCACAAATGGAGGTAGTTCATCATTAGCTGGCCAGAGAGCATTTGGCTTACCCAGAAGGTGGAAGAGAAAATTGTAATGTGACTATTGCCTGTATAAAAATAAATAAAAGGGGACAGAAGGTGATAGAGAGATCCACTGACCCAGCAGGAAGCAATAATCTGAGTAAGACACTAGACAGCTCTAAGAGCTAAAAGTGGCTCAAGACTATTAACTATCAAGTATAAAGGCTCACAGAAGGGGAAATGAAAAAACACTGTTGGATGACATGTAATAATACTGTTTTCATGGTTCACCTGTTCCTGCTATTTTTAGAGAAGTATAAAACTGTACATGCACTATGGAAAATGCAAACGCTATACAAGGTGGAGATGTGCAGAGGGAGAACACTAAGGTGTTGAATGCAAAGGTTGCTTCTGAGGTGTGAAGGCTACAAGCATTGGGAGATAATGCTTGTATGATTTTCCGTGCAAACTACATTGACTGTGCCCATTGAGTCAGATGCCTGCCCTCTGCCCACAGTGCAACCTGCCTAGCTTCCTTCTTCTCTGGCCTTACCTCTCTTCTTTGAAAGTGGAGGCTGGGATGTGGACCTTAACCTTCTTACACAGGGCTATCTTAGAGCCAGTCCCCAAGCCAGCAAGCAGTGTAACCTACTATGGAGGACATTGCAAACTGCGGATATGCCAGTGGATGCAAGTACAAGGAGGATACTCCAGTGTTGCACCCAGGAAGAACTTCACTGCTTTTAAGGAGCTCTGACTAGCAATGGGACCACTTACCACCATGCTTTCAGGAGGACAACTTTTTTTTCTATTCTTTGAGACCAGAGTCTCACATTATTTCTCATGCTGATCTTAAACTCAACTTGTAACCCTGAGTGCTGAGATTAATGATGGGAGCCACCATTCCCACATTAAAAGGACTACTTTTTAGAAGCAGTTTATAGATATTCTGTGTCCTAGCTAATTTTTTTAACGTATGAAGGAAACAAAAACAGCAGCATTTGACCTTAAAAAAAAAAAAGGTATATGCCAGCATGTCACATGTCATACTCATGACCCCAGCTCAGGGGACAGAGATGAGGATCACAGGTTCAGGGTCAGTCTAGACTACATATTGAATGAGACTTTGTCTAAAACAAAACAGCCAACAAAATGGCTCAGCTGGTAAGAGTTCTGAAAATCCAAATGGCGGAAGAATCAACTTCTATAAGTTGTCCCTTGACTTCCACAGGATCTCCATTATAACTGTATAAGCACAAAATAAATGCAATTGTTTTTTTTTTTAAGTGAATTTTTCTTTAAAAAAGGTATGGTTGTGCACACCTTTAATCCCAATACTCAAGAGGTAGAGACAGGCAAATTGCTGAGTTAATGGCCAATCGGTCTATGTAGTGAGTTCCAGGCCAGCCAAGGCTACAGAATGCAACCCTTTCTCCAAAACCAAAACATAACAAAAAATTAAATAAAAGGTATGAAAGCATTTTAGCATGACAATTGGGGAACCATAGCATTTCCCCAAGACTTCAACATAGCATTCTGCTTACCAGCCTCTGTAAATGTCTCTAAGAGACATACTGAGATATCTCATGGTTTTCTTGTAAGATTTATTTTTATGTGCATTGGTGTTTTACCTGCATGCATGTCTGTGAGGGTGCTGGATCCCCTGGAACTGAAATAACAGACAGTTGTAAGCTGTCATGTGGGTGCAAAGAATTGAACCTGGGTCCTCTGTAAGAGCAGTCAATGCTCTTTACCTCTGAGCCATCTCTATAGCCCTGTAAATGGGTGTTTTGCCTGCATGTATGTCTGTGCAGCATGTGTGTGCAGTGCCCTCAGAGGCCAGAAAGGGGAATTAGATCCCCTGAGGCTGGAGTTACAGACAGTTGTGAGCTACCATGAGGGTGCTGGGAATTGAACCCAGCTCCTCTGAAAAAGCATCCAGCACTCTTAACCTTTGAGCTATCTCTCCAGTCCCTTTTTTTTTTTTTTTTTCTCCAGTCCCTTAATGGTACATTAAGGAACCATGTTTTGTTTTTTTATGTTGGTTTTTTTTTTTTTTTCAATTTGAGATAGTCTTACTATGTAGCCCAGGCTTGCTTCAAACTTTTGGTCTTCCTGCCTGAGGGATTAGAAATGTATGGCACCACAACTGATTAAAAATGCAATTTTGTAAAAGCTAATATTGAACATCCACTTAACTTACTTAACCCTTAGAACAGCCCTCAGAGGCACATTTTACAGAGCCTCCATCACTTGTCTGAGACTATAAAGCACTGAGCAGAGAGCATTGTGAGATGCTGCCTTAAGGGTCCTGTCAGTTCCATTCCTTCATTCTCTGAGGGTGTTGATTCTTCAGGCAGAACTGTAGAGAGAGGTGTTCTGAATCATGTTGGCTAGATTGTGTATGCACAGGTAAACATACCTGTGAGAGAAACTTTGGTGGCTGTGTGGACAAGTAGATGACATTCTGAAAAGGACCTTTCTGAATTAGAGCATGGAACAAAGACATAGGGACTCTGTCTGTGCTATCAGGACTAAGTAGCCTTAATTCATCTTAGTTCCTTGGTTGGTCTATTTACTAGTAGCATCTGTCCAGGTGTGAGCCCAGTGTTGCCAGACTGGGGTACAGTCCTCCTCAGCCAAGAACACTTTATGCTATAGATACTGTGCACTAAGTGTGTGCTGTTACTGGCTTTTTGTTTGTTTTTTCAGTTTTACTGAGCACTGTTAAAAGCCCTGGTAATTGAGGACAGCCCTGTTCCAGGACTGTGATCACTGCCCATGTAGCTCAGACAGAGTAGCCACATTCTTCCTCCTCCGTGATTCACTGGCTTTGGGCTTAGGCATGAGCCTGCCTGTCTTTGTGAAAGATGAGTACAGATACCTAAGTTCTGTCCTCAGGAACAGACAAACACTTTAAGTCAAATTACATTACAATTGCAGTGCAAGTCTGGGGCACCCAACTCCACAGAGAACTGCTTGCCTGGGCATCACTTCTTTTCATTAAGAACTCAGCATCTTTTCTTGGTTAAGAGTGGCCAGCCTGAAATCAAGTGCTTATTGAGACCTTCAATTTTGACTTTTCCTTCCTCTCTAGAAAGGACCTAACTGTGAAATACCCTGGAGACCTCCCCATCACCCTTCCAAATCTGCTGAGGTTCATTCTGCATCACTCAGACCCTGCCTCGGCCCCTCAGGACTTTGACATCAGTCCTCCTACCCAAGAGTGTGTCCAGAACGAGGCAGTCCTGCAGCGTGAACACATCTCTCAAGTGGAGACTACCATGCAGAAGCTAAGATCTGAGATGAGCAGCCTACGCCGTACACAGGAGAAGGTAGAGGGCCGGCTCTTTAGTGCCCGCAGGGATGGGCACCGCCTGCTACGCCGGCAGCGTGCTCTGGAACAACAGCATAGGTTGCTCCGTCGCCACAGCCAGAAACTGCAGGCCCTGTATGTGCAGAAGGCCCGTGAGCTCCAAGAGCTGGCCAGTGCCTCAGAGACCCCCCTCCCTGAGCACACATGGCTCAAGATCCTTGTGGCCACTATGGAGAAGGAGCTGGAGGGCCAGGGTGGAGCTAAGGAACCAGCCCCTCTGGAAAAGGCTCGCCCCAACCACTCTAAGTTACCTGGTGACACCCCCCAACCTTCTACCACAAGCTCCACTCTGGCATCAGAGAGGAAGCATGAGAACAGGACAGACTAACTTTTGAATGAGATGAAGGAATCAGAGGTAAAAACTGTACATTGGGAATATATTTATGCAAATTTTATTGAAATTTATTGTAAATAAAGATTTTTCTCAGTGGTCTAGAAAATGAACGTGAATGTCATTCAGCATTATTGATCAGGAATGCCATCCCTTCCCTTCCCACTTATTGCACAAACTTGGTAGCTTGAGACATAACATTAGCACAGTCCATTTGAAGATTTATCTAGGAAAGTCAGTCCTTGCTTCAGTGGCTGAGCCTCCGGGTTCCTGCCCAGGATGAGAGGCTGGCTTCTTACTCACCAGAAGACCTCACCACAAAGGTTGCACTATTGAGAAAGCATCTGAAGAGGTCAGAGTTTATTAACTGTGGAGTGTATGCCCTGGTGTACAGCCAGAGATAAACAAGGACAGTTCACTAGTTCTATAGGTGTCTCATTTTTCTCCCTAAGACCTCTACCAGCGCCCCACAGTGCCTGAACTTAATCAGCAATTCATCCCACTCTTGAGGGGCTGACTCAAAAGCCAAGACATCACTGGCAACTGGGGAGGAGACAGGAAGCACCCCAAAAGTATAACTGATAAGAATGTGGTGTCTGACCAACAGCCTCCAAAACAATACAGAGAAACCCTGTCTCGTAAAACCAAAAAAAAAAAAAAAAAAAAAGAATGTGGTGTCTGAAAAAAAGAAAAATGTCATTGGCATAGTGAAAGCTGCAACCTGTGTCTGACAGTGGAGTGATTTGAGCATTTCTAGGAGCCAGGCTCACACCGAAAGCATAGATCCACGATGTTCTTGGATCAATGGATGGTGGAGCGAAAAGATCAGCAGTGTATAGGCTGCTGGCTGCAAGGGGAATTAGAGGTAGAAAGCTGGAAGTGGGGTGGGGATGGGTCAAAACCCTCAGCCTCTGCCAGCTCCAGGGCAGATTCCTCTCATACCTCCTGTTCCCCTCCTAGCCTGAAGAGACACCGCTTCCAGGTCCAACACGCATCCAAGCCAGCCTAAGCAGCCTCTGCCCATGGCCAGTCCACCCGTTACTACCTCTTCCAGGATCCAGGAGTTTCTTAAGGTGTTCTTATTGCAGCAGCCCACCAGAAGTGTCTTATTCCTACCTTCACAAATAGCCTTCCCTATAGCTGTCTCTCCTCAACTTAATATTTGACCACAGCTCTCTTTGCAGGCATACACTGCTAAAAAGAAGTGTTCCCTACAACTCCCCCCTTGGGTTTCCAGAGAATGGATTAGTTTCACACACTTTAAAGCTGTCTCCAGCCCATGCTGCTCTCCAGTGTGCCACGCAAGCCAGGGCTGGCCACCTAGTCATCACCAAGGATGTGAACACACTTATGTTTTAATCAGAATGGTTTAGAATACACTTAGAGTGGTGGATAACATCTAAGCTTATAGGCGTGGACTTAAAGGATATCTGGGAGACACATGCTTCTGGCTCCCTGACCTATGAGCCAGGCCCTGAATTTGAACTCCTGGTGACTCTGCTGTAAATGCATACATGCACACTAGAAATGATCTTCTTTGACACATAGTGCCTTTACAACTGGGTCAGGGAGCTCTGTCTACAAAGCTCTGAGGATCAAAGTGAAACCCAGTACCCAGCCAGTGGCAGTCACTGGAGAGGAAAGGAAACTCACTTGTGAAGAGGTGGGAGGAAAACAGTCGACCCTATCCCCCACCCCCACTCCAGTGCAGAAAATATTAAATACAAAAACAAAACGTTGCTTGCTTGGGCCAACTGGGTTTCAGACTTCAAGTAGCCACCATAGGCTCTGGTGTTTCCAGAGGACCAGAGCAGTTTCTGCAAGGCCTGTGCTGAAGGGATGTGCTGGGCATGCTCATGAACAAAGGGCAAGAGACTGCTCCGCTAAACTGCCTGGCAGCCCTCGGGACTCAACGGGGACTCGTCCATCCGTCTGTCCGTCACAGGCTTCCAAACAAGTACAGCAGCTTCCTTGCAGTGACTGCCATCTGCACACACTGCTATTTAACAAAGCTGAAGCGATCAAAGGGAAGGGGTGTGGTCTTTCTTCTACCCATTACTAACCAAGCAGAAATCACCCAAGCACCCCAGCTGCTTAGCCTTTCACTTCCTTTCCATACACACAGATAAGACCTTAGTGAGCCCTGCCAAGGGCACCTGGGGTCTGACCAGTCAAAGACTCTCCATGGTCATGCCTCAGCCCACCATGAATACAGTCATCAAGCCAGTCCCACGGGCTCTATGTGGTAGTTTTAAAAATCAGCAAAAAGGCTTAAGCACGTGCTTCTGGGCCTATTTACAGTTCACAGGTTGGTTAGTTCACACATTACAGTAGTAGCTCCATCAAAAACAGGCTCAGCTAAAACATTCAAGTAACAAAAGCGCTAAGGGGCCATGAGCAAGGTCAGGCCTGCCCACTGCCTGCAATGGGCAGCCCCACCAGGAGGCTGAGGAGGAAGGCCAGGACAGCCGGGACCCGCAGTCAGTGCATGCGATGATGAAGCCCGAAGAGACCATGCCAGCAAGTGTCAACCCCTCTCATATAGCATCATGTCTGCTTCTGCCCTCTCAGTGCTTCTGGGCTGGCTGCAAACGGAACCAGGGCCTTCGCAGCCCAGCTCAGCCATGCACTTCTGTGCCACTGGTGGTCATCAACTTGGCCTTTCTTTCCACGCACGGCCCCTTGGCAGAGTACTGCACCAGTAGAAAGGGCTCCTTTGTCTCGCCATCACCTACGATGCTCTCCTCATCCTCCGACTGGCTGATGCGCTGCAGCCGCAGGTAGCACCAGCAGCCCAGGATCAAGGCCCCCAGGGCCGCAATGGCGATGAGGATGACAATGACCGTGACCACCCCTGTAGTGGGGCTGTGGTCCATAATAGACATGGTTAGTGCTTGGAGGGGCTTCTCTGGTGCAAAGTTCTTGGTGTGGCTGGCTCAACGAGGCTGGAATTCGGGCTGCACAGGACAGTCCTGAAAGACAAAGTCAGGAAAGACTATATAGGGGCTCTGCAGGAGACTCAGTCACCCGGTGGCCCTTTCTGGGGTCTGTTTTTAAGTTCTTGAACTCAACTGGTCCGGCCTACAACTCTGTGACAACCACGGGATTGCCTTTTCACTGTGCCCAGATGCTCACCCAGCCTACTTCCCCCAGCTACTTTTGACACCCAGGTGTTTCCGCTGTCAGTAAGACACTCTGATGGGAAGGGAAATGGGCACCATGACAGTTGAGGTTGTTTTCTGTTTGTCTTTAAGACACGGTCTCACTCTGTAGCTCAGGCTATCTCAAACTCATGATTCTTAGGCCTTAGCCTTCTGAGCCTTAGCCACCATGGAGGTGGTCACTCTAGACAGCACCAATATGTGTACAGTAACCACTGATCCAGGAAGCTAGAGAGGAAGGATCCAAAAGCAGATAAACAGCATCAGCTCCTGTGGGGGATCAGATAACAGGTGAGAGGTCATAATAGCCAACAGCTTTTTGCCCTATGAGCCACTGCTGATCTGTGAAGACCTGGTTTTCAGGAAGCTCGTAAATGTAGGGCAGGCAAGCAAAAGTAATGCAGCTCCTGAAAGACCTAGGTACTGGGGAAAGCTTTGGAGAAGGCAGGAAGGGTGGGGTAGCTGGCTCCTGTCTGTGCATAGCTTGCCATTTAGTACAGGAGCCAGATTACCAAGAGGCCAACATTCTGTCTGTCCAGGTATGGTCACATCAGAAGCACAGGGGACCAGGTGCTGTGGTGCTAACTGGATGGATAGGTGAGCTTCAGGGAGGCCACCCTGGCAGGGAAAAGCATTCATGGCAGTGGAACAGTACTGGTAGGGCTTGGAAGGCAAGAGGGAGGGAGAACCTTGGGCATCACCTGTAAGAGTGGCAACAGGAAGTGAGTGCCAGCTGGGTTCAGGTATGCTGAGGGGTGATGCCAGGACAGACAGCTGAGACAACTCCATATCACAGAACCCAGTCCTTATCTGTAGACAAGGTTTTGAGTGGCAAAGGAGAACGAGGCTGTGGGATACACAAGGCCTGTAGAATCTGGACTCCAGCCTCCCTCTCAAACGTCCAGGGCTTACTCTAAGTGGTACCCCAAAGCCCAGCCCTCCACAGCACTCAGGATCAGGATTTTGCTACAATGGCTTCCCAGGTGCCGAATCCAGTAGGCTACTCCAGTGTATCAAGGTTCCCTACTTTCTTACAAATGCCAGTCAGTAATGAGCATCAGTGTGGTTAGAGGAATGAAGATTCCAGGGGAGTGCTCTGCACAGGCCAGGCACAACCTCCGCTGAACAAGCCTTAAATGTCCAAAGTCTTCCCATCCACGTATTGGGCAGATAGTTCAGGAAGATTCTCCCTCCAAACAAGATAGAACATAAATACTGATCCTTGAGCAATAATCTCCTTAAAAATGATTCACTCAACCCACTCAACCATAGAGGCTACCATGGTCAGGTACCCCTGGAGGTCACAGGCAGCGAAATCAATGCCCCAAGTGTCTGGGAATCCAGGAAGCAGGCCTCATGACCAGGCAGTACCACCCTCATCACCTGCACAGACTCTGTAGGGCAGCAGCTTCTGATTTTAACCTGAGTTTGAGCTGCCTGAGTCTGAGCTGCCTGGGTCCCACTCAACTGGTTCCTTGTCCACTGTTGCAATCAACACACTGGATGTGCCCAAGTGCTTATGGTGACTGACAGTGTGTCCCAGTTCCGGCTCAAAGTTCCCTACATTGTGCCTTCCAATATCCTCTTAGGTCCAGGCTTTGACCCCACAGTTCCTCCTGCCCAGGATGCTCCACTCACTGACCTTTGATCACTAGGTCTCAACAGGGGGCAATCGTGCACCTGACCATACCAGAGTTCATCGATTCTGTTCAATACCCTTCAACGTATAGGACAGCTTCCAAACCTCAACACAAAATAGCCTGGCCCCAAATGGTACCCACATGGAGGTTTAGGAAAAAACTCTGACCTAGTTTACAACAACTCCAGGAAGGAAGCCTCTCCAACTAAAAAGCCACGGAAGCTCCCTTCCTGGCAAGGCCACCTAGCTCCTGGCCTTCCCCCATCCCCAGAGCTGCATGTTCCAAGAGTGCTTACTCTGCTTGCTCCATAGCCTGGCACCTACCCTGTCAACATCAGTTCCCACAGTCCATGCAGACAGACCACATAGGACACCCATGGTTCTGCCTCCACCTGTCCTTTCTCCCGTTGTCTTCTGGTCAGGAAGGGGAAGTGTGTTTGGAGTCTGAGGTGGCTCTGGGATAGCAAGTGAAAAATCAAACAATAGTACCATGATCTGAGGGAAACAGCTGTCCTGGAACTAATGAGGAAACTGAGGCATAAGCATCTCCAGCCAGAGGGACCTCAGGAGAGCAGGAATGACCTCAAACTCCTGTCCACTGTGCCTGCCCCAGGCCTGGAGGTGGACATAGCCAGGTATATGGCTCTGACCTCTGAGCATAGATCCCTGACCCAGCCGCCCATGCCTTGCCTGTGGCCTCCACCTAGCCCTGATGGGCTTCTGCTTTCTTTTTTCACTCACCAAGTGTTTCCTGAGAAGTGGTCATAGCCTGACAGTGGCCTTAGAAGGGGGACTCCTGAGGTTGTCTCACCATCTGCTGGAAGCCTGGCAATCACCTATGCTTCCTAAACTGTCCTGTGGCTGCCTCCTTCCTTAATGGGACTGGTAACTTTCCCAGGGGTGACTCTTGGGGCTGCTTCCAGGACTCCAGATGCTGCCTCTTCCCATGCTGCCCAGCCTGCACCCCCTACACTCTTGCCTAGGGCTCTCTGTTATCTGTTATCAGTTTCCTGGTTTAGGGAGTGTTTCCCTGGCTGTTATCTCCTGACCTGTGGCCTCCAGAGAGTCTAAGAAAAGGCCAGTGTCCCTCATGTTCACAGTCATGCCCCACTGCTGTACCACTCACACACAGTGGGTGCCAGGAAAGGCTGGCTGAGTGTCCCAAGCCTGGGTGTGTGGTGATGCCTTAAAATCGACCTGATCTCAAGGGAATCAGTCAGGCCACCCTTGTCCCGAGGCAGCCCCCTAACTCCAGGTTCTGCCCCCGTGCCTGCCAGCAGCCTCTGGAGAAAGAGGATGTGAGCCAAGTTCAGGCGGGGGCAAGGCATGGCAGTGACCTCTAACACGTCTGAGCCCAAACAGCATGAACTTAGTGGTTCTCAACCTTCCCAATGCTATGATTCTTTGATACAGTCCCTCAGGTCATGGTGATAACAACCATAAAATTATTTTTGTTGCTACTTCATAACTTAAGTTTGCCACTGTAATGAAGAGTAATGGAAAAAATGTGTTTCCTGTCGTCTTAGGTGACCCCTGTGAAGAGGGTCATTCAACCCCAAAGGTCACCACCTACAGGTTACGAATCTCTGAGCAAACTCATAGACAGGAGCAGAGAAGCAGAGTCCAGAGGAAGCTGGGACGCCCTGCATCTGGCTAATACAACCTTCTGCACACCACTGATCCCCATTTCATCCACCAAGGCCCGTGCGTCTGGACATAACACAGCCCACTTGAGGACAATCCCAGGACCACTCCAGAGCAATCATGCCCCAATCCACCTTATCTCCTCTTTACTTGCCTTGATCATCCCATTCTGCAGATAAGGAAACTGAGGCCCAGGGTTAGCTAGAGCACAGGTCATACCATGTCCCTTGTTGGAGGCAACAGCAGTGACAACTTCCAGGAGAACACTGGTCAGCATGGGCATGGACACTCCACAGTCACCCTAGTCTACAATGCTTGAGAATTGTTGAGTCTCAAAATGACACACAGTGTGACCTCTGGGCAGGGGTCTCCTAGAATTCAGACTCTCCTCTAGGGTTTTCTTGATGAGGGTCTCTGTTACCCTTACCTCTTCATGGGATCACCAAACTCACCCTTCACCCCACCATTCATGCTTAGTCCAGCGTGTATATCAGGCAACAGGGCAATCTGAGTCCCCTCTGTACCCACAGCAAACTGTCCCTGATGACCTACCTCCCTTTTCCCAAGGCACAGAGCCTGGCTTGGACCCAATGTCACAAATAGTCTCTCCTCTAGGGACACCCTGCTGCCTGATCACTTAACTGGGCACATGATGAGGGCTGCTGAACTCAGTTGAACACTGCTCTGTCACCCTACTGAAACCTCCACCTCCTGGGGCACTCCAAGGGAGCCAGAAACAGTGTCGTGTTTTCAGGGCCAGCTAATGCCCTGGAGCTTCCAGCACTGTCCCACCTTCCGACAAAGCCACCTGCCAAGTATCCTCTTTGGGGACCCCAGCCCAGAAGTATTTCCTGCCCCCGGTTCTGTTCTGCCAAGCCCCAACAGGCACCATCATCAACGGCTTCTTCCATCCAAGAGCTAACATCCAGCATGGCTGTGCCTCCTGTCCGCCTACCCTCCACCTTCCCCTCCAGAAACATGCTCTAGATGCCACCCCACTGCCAGATTTCATGGCAGGAGAGGAAACTAGGGCCGAGAAGTTTGGGGACTGTCCCCAGGTCAGCTGCAGTCTCATAGCCCGGGTCTGAATCCTGCCCCTCCTGTGTAAATCACTTGCCTGGCACTCTTCAGGGTCCTATTTGGCCATACAACTTCGGTAGTGATGTAACAGCAGATACTGAAAAAGTTCCTGGGTGTTGCATTCTTGAGCTCAACATCTCATGTAGATCTCGCCAAAATTTTTGCCTCAAAACAATTCTAGAGTTGAGCTATTACTCTTCCCACTTGACAAATAAATGTGGCTTAGAGAAGTTAAGTCAGCTATCCAAGGTCACACAGATTTAAAAATGGAAGTGCAGCTATTCAATCCAGGCAGCCTGCCCCCCCCCCCAAAAAAACTGATTTCCAGCCTGGTTCTAAAACGTCATCTACCTGACCTCTGACCTCTCTCCTGGAGGCTGTGTGCAGTGAATCGTGCCTGACCCCTTCCTAGCAGCTAGTCTAGGTGACCTGGGCTGAGGACCAGACACCGATGACAAGCGCCCCAGCAGCTCCCGCGTGCAAAGCGCGGGCGGCGTGCAGGCGCGGTGCCAGGCGACGCAGCGTTTCCCCCACTCTAAAGGAGCAAGGCGAGGAGTGAGGGAAGCAGGGGCCCGTTCAGGGGGCGACAGCTGCAGAGGAAACCACAGCTGAAGAAGGCAAATCAAGTCCGCCTGACCCGGGTTTTTGTTTTTTTGGTTTTTTTTTTTGGGGGGGGGGAACAGGGCAGACTAGGAGTTAAGCCCACGCCGCGCAGTCACTGTCCAACAGACAGACCTGGGACCAAACGCTGCGGCTCGGCCTCAGTTTCCCCATAGCCGAAGCGGACGCCAGATGTTCCCTGGGCCCCCATCCCCCTTGATCTCATCTTGGCCACGCTGGGACGCTGCCAGGAATACTGTCAATGCTGGGAGTGAGTGTTCCGGGCAGCCCCGAGGATCGGCGCAGGACGCAGAACCCGTGGGTCGCAGAGAGGGAAAGACGCCCCACCGAGCAGCCTCCGCCCCCCACCTCCTTCTTTGTCCCAAACGCGCTGCGGAGGACAAAGAGCCCCCGCCCGCGCGCGGCGTCGACCCGCCAGCGCCGCACCCAGGTCCATCCGGCGCGTCCCTTCCCCCTCATCCGCCCGTCCTGGCCGGTCCTGCTCACCATGTCGTGGCCCACAGTCGGCACAATCTGCCAGCAGCCGCCTGGCTGCACGGCTCCGCCCGCGCGCTAGCCGGGTCGGGCCGTCGCGTACTAGCCAGACGCCAGAGCCAGATCTGCGGCGGGCGGGGCGCTTCGGCTCCGCCCAGGCCGGAGGCGGGGCGCTCCGATGCGACCAACGGGAGGCCGCGTTGGGATGACGGGGCGGGGCGAGAGGGAGGGTGGGAGTCACGTGCGTTGGGGGGGGGCGCGGTGCTCGGGTGAGGGTAAAGCCTGGAGGGGAGCGTAAGCGGCGGAGGGGATGTGGAGGGTGTGGGGCGGCTGGCGGCTCAGTGAGCTAGGGCAGAGGGTGGAGGGTCAGGCAGTGGTCGGCTGGGATTCCATGGGTGCCTTTTGGGTGTTGACGATACTGGGCCTGCTCCTGGTGTCCTCTTTCTGTGTGGGTAGTCGGTAGTCCCAGCCCAACGACAGAGGGGAAACTGAGGCTTACAACAGGTTAGAGTGTGGCACACCGCCCCAAGGTTGCAGGCACCAGAAGAGTTGAATGACTGCTTTGGAAAGGAGCTGGCTGGTTTTTTGTTTTTGGTTAATTCCATCATCCATACATCCATCCACCCCCCCCCCATCTGTACCGATCATGTATCTTGCCGAGTCCCTCAAACAAGGTCCCTGTCCCCAAATATGCAGACTGGGGTTAAGACCTCACCAACTAGCCGGGTGGTGGTGGCGCACGCCTTTAATCCCAGCACTCAGGAGGCAGAGGCAGGAGGATCTCTGTGAGTTCGAGACCAGCCTGGTCTACAAGAGCTAGTTCCAGGACAGCCTCCAAAGCCACAGAGAAACCCTGTCTCGAAAAACAAAAACAAAAACAAACAAACAAAAAAAGACCTCACCAACTGCCCTGCTCCGCTCAACAAATCAACCCCAAATAAAAATGTATCATCCCATTTGACAAGTACTGCCGATGTGCTCTCGTGGAGATAGGATTCGAGGTGAGACATTAACTGACTAGGAACATAGAAGCGCTAACTGGTGTAGTGACTGCCCCTAACAAGACAGTCCAGGAAGAGGACAGAACACTCCATAATGACTACCTGGAACTCCCAAGAGGCTCAAGACTTCTGAGGCTCAAAGTACTGCCACAGACAGGGACAATTTGGTTGGGGCACACAAGGCTGGGATCTCCTGAGAGCTGGGAGGGAGGCCAGGGGCTGCTTGCTTTTCTTTCCCAGACCCAGGCAGAAGGTCCTGCATACAAACTGAGTCACCAAACTTTCCTTTGGTCCACACCATTTCTTTTATCTTGAACATTCTTCCACATCATCTTCCAGACTTCAGCTTCCATGCCCTTGCTCTATTTACCCACTCAGTGAAGTTGTGTTTTCCAAGGGTGTCTCATCAACTTTTGGTCTCTATTTCAGGACTAAGACTGGGTCATCCACTGATGAGTCTACAGAACAGTAGGTATACAGTAGGCTCTTTGTTGTTTTGTTTTGTTTTTCTGAGACAGAGTCTCACTATGTAGCTCTGGCTGTCCTGGAACTCATTCTGGTACAAGATAGCCTTGAACTCAGAGAGACCTGACTTCCTCTGTCTCCTGAGTGCTAGGATTAAAGGTGTGCACCACCATCAATCACCTGGCTAAAGCAGACTCTTGATAAAATACGTTGAGTCAGGCGGTGGTGGTGCACACCCTTAGTCCCAGCACTAGGGAGGCAGAGGCAGGAGGTTCTGTGTGCGCCGAGGTCAGCCTGGTCTACAGAGTGAGTCCCAGGACAGCCAGGACTGTTACACAGTGACTCAAAAGAAAAAAAGGAGCCGGGCGTTGGTGGCGCACGCCTTTAATCCCAGCACTCGGGAGGCAGAGGCAGGCGGATCTCTGTGAGTTCTAGACCAGCCTGGACTACCAAGCGAGTTCCAGGACAGCCTCCAAAACCACAGAGAAACCCTGTCTCGAAAAAAAAAAAACCAAAAAAAAAAAAAAAAAGAAAAAAAGGAAGGACTAACTCCGCTGGGGAAGGAGACCAGGCTGAGGAGGTAACTATGTCTGAACAAGAATGGACACAGAGGCAGAAGGAAGCAGGGCTTTGGGCCAGCTCCCATAGGCCAGAGCCGCTCCTGTCTACAAGTGACCCCATCACTGTCCTCAGCTCCTGCCCTGGGAACCCTGTGACCCACAGCTGCCAGTGCAGACTTGAAGGAAGCAAGTACTTCCCCCAAGCCAGTCCAGCATCTGTGGTTTTGGCCTCAAGTGGCCAAGAGCTCGTTAGTGGTCTTGGCCTGGAAGAGGTAAGCTCAGAACTCCAAAGCTGGAACTGGCAGGGAGAGAACAGGGAGGCTGGGACATGATGGAAAGAATGGATATGTTGAGAGGTGAGCATCGCAACACAGAGATGGGGTGGCCCTCCCTGCTTCAAATCTAGGCTTGCCTCCTGGAGGACTTTGGAAAAGCAGTCTAAGGTCTCTGTGCCTCACTTTTCCTTGTCTGAAAAAAAATGGGGACAACAGCAAGGGAGACCTCACAGAGTTGGGAGCACATCAAGTAATGGGAACAAGGGAAGAACTCCTACTCGCTCACTGCTCATCTTAGTATCAGGGTAAGATTGGAGAAGACACAGATGTCCCCATTGGGATCTTGGGCCAGCGACTGCACCTCTCTGAGCCTTGGCTTCCTCATCTTCATGGTGGGTCTCATGAGTCCCAGTGACCAGCAGTCGCCCAGAATTGCTCAGAATGCTTCACTGATGGCAACAGTAATAGACATGAGACTTAAAGAGTGTCAGGCTGGGGATGCAGCTCAGCTAGCAGTGTGGAAGCACACTTTGAGCTACTGAAGGCGACAGAGGCAGCAAGCATCTCGCCTGTGGTTGAGCCCACATGGCTACCTGGTAGCCCTGCCCTTGTAACTGTGAACCTAACTGCCTGCTCTGTGCCCTCGCTTTCTCTCCCCCACAAGCAGGCAGGAAGTCTTGCTTTGCTCCTGCAACCCATTTCCTCACGTCCCTTCTTTCTCCATGGTGACATCTGGCCCAGGGTCTTCCCAGAGGAACTGGCCAGAGGTTCTGAGATGTTCATTAACAAGAAAAAATAATTAAGAGCTTGCTGGGGCCCAGCTGGGCCTGCTGTGGGCCAGTCTGGCCTTGTGCCCACTTCCCCAGTGTGCCAGAGGCACTGGGACAAGAAGGGGCTTGCTGGGGCTAGGAGCAGAGTCTTCAACCAGTCTCAGAGGAGACACCCTGTAGCTGGGCCTCCGTGTGTAGCCAGCAGTTACCAGTCTGAGCCGGTCAGCTGTTTCACAGGCATTCCCAGGAGGGGTTTAGACTTAAAAACAAAGTGAAAATTAGTTGGCCACAGGGGAGTTTCCTGATGGGTGAGATGGGAACCACTGGTGAATTCTACAGAATGAGTCTCAGTGGAATACAGAGAGTTTCCCCATTGCTTGGAGGAACACAGCTTCTCTCTTAGGGAGAGGGGACTCACTGGCTGATGGCTTTATTGACTTATCTACTATGGCTGGTTCAATTCCTTAGAGCCAGAGAGAAGACTTGCTGGCCTATCTCAGGTAGCTGACACTCCTGAGCTAAAATGTGTTGTTTTCTATGCATTTATGCCTCAGTTGCCTTTGATTTATGAGCCAGATTTTTTCTCCATTTTTGATAGTAACATACTCTTTTCTTTCTCCTTCTTTCTTTCTTCCTTCCTTTAAGACATGGTTTCTCTGTGTAGCTCTAGCTGTCCTGGAACTCACTCTATAGACCAGGCTGGCTTCGAACTCACAGAGATTCACTTGCCTTTGCCTCCCGAGCGCTGGAATTAAATTTGTGTGCCATTATGCTTGGCTCTTCCTTTTTAAATAGGACTATTTAGAAAAAAAAAGAACACTGAATGTTCAAACATGTATGAGTTACTTTCCTCCTTGCTCAAGTACTGGGATGACAGGCATGTACCACACGGCCCAGTTTCTGTGACATTCAACATAGATGGAGCCCAGGGTTTTGTGCATTCTAGGTGGGCCTCTACTGACTGCACTGCAGCCCCAGTCTGGATTTTCTCATGCTTTTCACAAAGGACACCAAGTCCTGCATTTGTCCTCTATAGTCCAGAACCATAGCGAACGGGAGCAGGAGGAATGGGCTTGCCTAGCATCCTAGCCTGCATCTTGCACTTAGGAGACAGAGGCCAGGAGGATTGAGAGTTCTGGACCATTCTGGGCAAACATAAGACTCTGTCTAAAGGGAAAGAGGCCGAAAGAAAGGAAGGAGGGAGGAAAGGGAAGAACAGGGCAGAAAATAAGACCGCCTCATTTTTGGGCAACTATCCAATTACAGTGGAGATGAGTCCCCAGGGTCCCTGGGACTGGTGGACTGCTGTCCTCCAAGCATGGTAGCCATTGCCATCTTTATCAGATAAGTTGTTACTATGCACAAGAGACCGTCAAGAAGGGGTCTGAGACCTCTTATAGATGGAAGGGATGGGAACGGTCATTAGGCCCTCATCTGAGATCCCAGCAACTCTGTCCTTCTCCTCCCCTCCAGGCATAAGCAAGTCTGCCCCAACTACCCCTGACCCTCCAGAGGAGGCACGAGAGTGTATACAAGATGGAAGGGTGCCTCACCTCTAAGAACAGCCACAGGACAGTAGTCATCCATGCTGGCCTAAGACTTTTCTGTGACACAAGTGTTTGGGGATCGTGATCACCTTCGCTCCTGTAAGTAATTCTTCCTCTCTCTGTCAGTAAGCTAAGTAAAGTCACTGGTTCACAAGCTAGACCTGGGTGGAACCAGTCTGTTTTGTGCCCTGTCTTAGGCAAGCAGACATTTTTCACAGCTCCCCAGGAAAAGCTAATGTAATGCTTAATCATTCATTGTTCACGCCACCCTGGTATCAGGCTTTGGGGTCTGGCAGGATCTGTTCCCAGGCCCATCCCAGGGCTTTTATCTGTGGCTGAGCCCAGCACAGAATGTCCTGTTCTCTGGACCCAAGCTTGGGGCCTCCAGCAGAGAGAGGATGGAGAAGCCGATGGAGCCAGCGCTGGTGGACCACTGAAGACACACGGACAAAGGGAGTACTTAAGAGCCTAGCATTGCCATTTGCCAGCTATGCAGCCTTGGGATTTTCATTTACCTTCTCTGAGCTGGA